CTATGCTACCGTTATACCACTCACGCTCTATTTTAGCTAAAAAAAACATTTATCTAGCGCTCCGTAATTCAATTAGAGGTTTGTCATATTTTCGTCGCCACTGTTTTTATTTATTACAAGGTTGGGTTGTTGTTTGTGTTGTTGTTGTTGTTCGTATTGTTGTTGTTGTTGTTCGTATTGTTGTTGTTTGTGTTGTTTGTGTTGTTGTTGTTGTTCGTGTTGTTGTTGTTGCTTGCGTGGTTGTTGTAATTTCGTTCGTAACATCTTTTTCGTGTTTTGGCTTGAGATTAAATTAGCAATATCTTACTTTCTCCCCCTCTCTCTCTCACTTACTATCTTATTTTTCCTCTTTCCCTCTCTCTCTCTTTCTCTCTCTGGGACGTGACGGAAATGATAAAGAGGAAAGTTAATGATGCTGATGTTGCTGACGATGACGACGACGATGATGATGATGATGGTGATGATGATGATGATGGTGATGATGAGGGTGGTGATGATGAGGGTGGGTGACTTTGCATGTTTTTTTCCTCATTGCATTGTCATCTCATCAGCAGCATTATTGTCTCCCTTGGTACGAGGAAATGAATGAATGAATGAACGAAAGAACGAATGATGGATGGATGATTGAATGAGTTAATGGGAACGAGAACGAACGAACGAACGATGAAGGAATTAAAGAACAAATCAACCAACAAACAATTGTAGGAATGAACGAATGAATGAATGAATGGATGAATGAATGAATGAATGAATGAATGGATGAATGAATGAATGAATGAATGAATGAATGAATGAATGAATGAATGAATGAATGATCGAATGAACGAATGAACGAATAAGTGAATGAATGAGCATCTATTTTCAACAGATAAAAATAGCTTTTTCTCAATTTCCTAGACAAAGGACATAAATATATAAAGGCGACTGCCTATTCATCATCTTCAATAAAAAAAACCGTTTCATTTTTTCATCACAAAATTCTTTTTAAATTTTTCAAACTAAAAATTTTGGCTCTAATTGCATTCATAGCAATAATAATAGATTATTTATATCATGTCACAAATTCATTTCATTATTATTATTATTATTATTGTAGTGGTAGTAGTGTTCGCAACAGCAGCCACAACAGTAGCAGCAGTAGTTGTGGTAAGAGCCGCAGAAGTAGTAGTAGTAGCACCAGTAATTATATATCAGTAAAATTTGATTTTATTCATTCGCCTCGGCATTTGTATATATTATATATTCATTATATATCTATTATTCATTTAATTCATTTATATATTTAACAATTAATACCTAAGAGTAAACTGTCTTGAAAAAAATCATTCCCCAAAGATTGACAGTCTTTGGTTACACAGGTGAATAATGCATTCTATTTCGTAGCCAGCTTCATTGACGTTTGAACACAATACAGGTAGCCAGAATACCATACAAGGTAAGGCAATCTATGTTACATTTATTACATTCTACAGTTAGGAAGTTAGTGTGAATGTTTGTGTAGGTTGAATTCTTACTTGAAATATATTAGGTTATTATTGCAATATTGGTATAACTGATAACAATTACAAAGTATGTATAAATAAGTAATAAGGTCTTATATGCTATATATATATATATAGTAATTATAAGTATAAGACTTTTATACTATAAGTATAAGTATATATACAAGTGTCTATATATTTATATATATATATCATGTGATAGCTACTTATGAATGTTCAAAGTTTCAATATAAAAGCTTATTTTTATGTGTTTTTATTTAATTATTATTATTATTTATATTATTATTTTTAACATTGATTTCACTCAAAAAACAGAAACTATATATATATATATATATATATATATAAAGGTAGATTGAGTTAGATATATGGATATGATATATATATAAACTTGAACTACTTGAAAAGATTAGCTCATATACATAGTACACATACATACGCACATACATACACATACAAACATACACACACAGACACACACACTCGCATACTACTGTAGAATAATTTATTCTAACATGCTAAGTTGATATATTCCACATACCTTGATGGCATAATTTAAGATGTTGTTGTTGTTGTTGTTTTTGTTGTTGTTGATTATTTTTATTATTTTTATTATTTTTATTTTTAAGAAAAATGAACAAACTAAATGATCCTGAATATTCAACCAGTGTTGACGACGAAAAAATATCTTTCTCTAGTGCTAAACTAATATTTGAAAACAATTGCAGCAACAACAACTACATTAAGAACAACAACAGAATTTCACCAAAGAACAAAAATAATAACAACATAAAAAATGTCGTCAAAAGAGGCTCACAACATCATAGCGATCTCCAAAACAATATAAACAACAACAACAACAACAACAACAATAACACTTTCAATGCAATTAATCTGAGTAGTGCTAGAGTTCACTCTGACATGAACGCTCGTAACGTTAGTTTATCTCGTAAAAACAACAACAACGACGACGACCTCATTAATACTACCTCAACAACGACAACAACCGCTACTACTACTACTACTACTACTACTGCTGCTACTGCTACCAGCGTTACAGCAGCTTCAACTGCTACTACTACAGCTATTACGAAAGTAAATTTCGTATTAAAAAGTAAAAGGAACGCCTCTTGCAACGCAAAATGGTTGAACGATGCCGATAATACACGCAACAGCAACATTAACAACATTACCTTCAACGAAAACTACAGTCTCAACAACAACAGCAGCAGCAGCAGCAGCAAAGACAACGACAACGACAACAACGACTATATAAAAAACTCACGCGAATCATTCGTTGATGAAATTGCATGCATCAATCACGAAGATTTGAAAAAAATTCAAACGGTGGAGGAAATGTCGCAACAACAACAACAAAAGCAACAACAACAGCATCAACAACAACAAAATGTCAGAAGTTTATACGAAAAAAGGGTTGATTTGTTTCAGCAGTTAAACAACAAGCAGCGGCGAGATGATATAGAGAGACAACAGTTGCAGCAACAACAATTTGAAAGGTCGCAACATCAATCTCAACAACAACAACAACAATCATCATCAACAACAACAACAACATCTTCCACATCATCATCTTCTTCGTCATCACCATCATCACTCTCGTTGTTGGCGGCATCACAAACGTCAATCAAATCAACAACAACAACAATTCACTTGCAACGTAAGCAACAACAACAGCAACAACAAGTCCAACTCAATTGTATCACGCCTCTCACGTCATCATCATTACCAGCAGCAACAACATCATCATCACCATCACCATTTACATCATCTTCTTCATCATCACCAACACCTTCATCTGCAAGTTCGTCTCCGATTAAACCCATAAAAGCAACAACATCATCAACAACAGCAACATTAGCAACAACAACATCAACAAAATCATTACCTGCAACAACATCAGCAACAACAACAACAACAACAGCATCAGAAGGCAAGCCCCAAGAGAATGAGCCAATAGAAAATCGCGTCTCTTTGAAACTTTGGGACCCCGTAAGCGCTTTAATAATGCTCTCTCTCTTTTTCTCTCTTTTTCTCTCTTTCTCTCTCTTGTTTTCACTATCTCACTATCATCCCTTTCTATTATAAAGAAGGTTTCAATTCAATCTCTCAATCGTGCTCTTTGTTTTCTTCTTCCTGAAAACTTCTCCCAATCATTCATTCGTTCGTTAGTTCATTTGCTCATTCATTTATTCATTCATTCATACATTCTTTATAAGTTCGTATATTTTTGCATCTTCGCACGTTTGTATATTTTTGTACGTTTGTATATTTTGTACGTTTGTATATTTTTGTATCTCTGTTTGTTTGTATGTATCATTCATTTGATTTCCCATCCCAATCGCCATTCGACACAGAGCAAGCTGATAGGAGAACTCTACAAGCTTCCAGACCAAACTCCGCAGGTTAAATTCAACAAGAACAACAAAAAACAACAACAATAGTATTAATAATAATATTAACGTTATTAAATTCTAAAAATAGAAGCCGGAAGTGACGTCATACCGGAACAGGAGCGGATATTTGGAATCACTTCCGGTAAGCAAGTCGAAAGATTCTTTCTTGAAAACGTGGAAGCGGTTGTACTTTGTTGCTAACAACGGGAGCCTGTGCATCTACGAGGTGGCGATGATGATGACGATGATGACGATGATGATGACGATTGCGATGATTATGATGACGTCACAACGTTAATGACGTCACAGCGACGATGGTGTAATTATTTTTTCAAATATTTCGCTCGCCAGAGTTCGAAGGACGGTAAAGAGATTTACAAGTTGGAGTTGTCGGGTGGCTCAGTGCATGATATTGCCGAAAGGGCTCTAGGTGTTGAGGATGGAGTGAGTGAATTGTCTTGTGGATGAATGCATGAATGAATGAGTGAATGAATCAATGAATCAAAAAAGGAATAAATGAGAAAACCACCTAGCCATCTATTCATTCATTTGTTCGTTCGTTTGTCTGTTCGTCCGTTCGTTCACCGGTTGTTCTGTCATTCATTCTAACATACCTCACTCGTTCATTTATTTATTTATTTATTCATTCATTCATTCATTCATTTATTCATTCATTCATTCATTCATCTAATCACAGAGAGGGCATTATTTGATGGTAAAATGCCCAACAATAGAAGAAGCCAGGCTGTGGAAAGAATCCATCCAATCACAAACGGTCGACAACCAATCAGAAAACTGGGTCAACCCGATCATTCAGCCAATCAGAAAGGGGTCAAATGAGGTAAACATCATTATCATTATCATAATAATTAATTTAATAATATTAATAATTATAATTATAATCGACAGACAAAGAGAGTTGTTGTTATTGAAATTGGTTCATCGTCTGTTAGAGCTGGTATTCTTGGAAATTCTCGTAAGATTTTTCATTCATTCATTCATTCATTCATTCATTCATTCATTCATTCATTCATTCATTCATTCATTCATTCATTCATTCATTCATTCATTCATTCATTCACTTTCTCTCTCACATTCTCTCTCTCTCCCTCTATCGTTCAGCATCTCTCCCCACTTTATTCTTCCCAAACGTGATGTCAACGGATAAGAATACTGGCCTACAATCATTCGGAATTGGTGCTCTGAAACCGGAAGTGAGGAATACTTCCGTTATAAGTTTCCCGCTGAAACCGAACAGCAAAGCGGAAAAGGTTCGACGGCGATGATGATGAGGATGATGATGATGGGGTTGGTGATGATAAAAGTGACGATTGGTGTCGATGATTATGAAGATTACATAAAATATTACTTGTAAACTGTAATATATGATATCATAATATGTAATATTATAATATTATAGTACAGATATTATTCATCATCATCACTATCATCATCATCATCATCACCACCACCATCATCATCATCATCACATAGTACGCAATTAACTGGGACGGCATTGTCGGTCTACTCACTTTCATCTTCGGCCAACTTAACATACATCCTCGACAGTGTTCTGTGAGTTCGGTGATGGTGATGATGATGTTTTTGATGGTGATGATGATGATGTTGGTGAGAATGATGATGATGATTTTGATGGTGATGATGATGTTGTTTTTTCCCTCTACTCACAAAGAGACAGAATAAAACAAACACACAAACAAACAAAAAAACAAAAAAACTAGGTCATGTTAAGCCAACCATCCAGCTTCACTGACGTCATCAAATCGAAATTCCTAGCCATACTGTTCGACCAATTGGAGGTGAGATCAGTTGCCATGGTGACGCAGACCATGCTGTCACTCTACAGTTATAACGCCACCACTGGAGTAGTCTTGGACGTTGGGGAGAAAATCGAAGTACTTCCGGTCGTAAACGGTGAGATGTTGATGATGAAGAGGAGGAAGATGATGATGGTGATGATGAAGAAGGTGATGATGGCGAAGAAGAAGATGATGAAGATGATGATGATGAAGATGAGGAGAATGAAGATGATGATGACGATGAAGATGATGATGATGATGGTGATGATGATAATACGCCTTTCTTAACGCTGTCAAGTACGAGGATAATTTTGAGAAAAAAATTTGCATTGGATATTGTTTTGCCAGGTTACGTAGTTGAAGGTGGCGTGATGAGGCTGCCCCTGGGAGGTCAAAGGTTATGCGAGGTCATGAACTCTTACCTCATCAATAGGAAGGTCAGATTCGCCTCAAATGCCGAATTCCTATTGGCCAGATATGCCGTAGAGAAGGTAGGGTTGTAATGATAATTTTACTACTACTACTACTGCTACTGCTGCTACTACTACTATTATTACTGCTACTACTACTACTACTACTACTACTGCTGCTGCTACTATTGCTGCTACTGACGCTGCTTCTGCTACTACTTCTGACAATGAATAATCACAGTTATGCTTCGTGTCGATGGATTACACTGACGATCACGAGCAGTGCCTGGAGTCCTCACAAGATTTCAAATCCACCGTGCCTTTGCTGGGGTTTGATCTGCCCTCCGAAGCTTCTGAGTACGTTGTTGTTGTGGGGTGGTGGTGATGATGGTGATGGTGATGATGGTGGGGATGGTGGTAATGGACTTCACCAAAAAAAATCCTGTTTGTTGCGACACCACGTTGAATAGAATTCCATCCGTCAAAACTAATTTTCATTGGAACGAGCACATCGCTGCTAAAATAACTAGGTCTTTTTTTAAATAGTGACGTCATAACTGTAATTAAAATACTATCCAGGCCGTTGACCTCTGACCTTGGCCGTTTCAAAAGCCCCGAGGGGTTTTTCAACCCTGAAATCTGGGGCGTCGATAATGATTCCGTGCAGAAACTCGTCCTCAGGTCCATAGGTCAGTGCCCTATTGACAGCAGGAGGCAGATGTGGAGGTTATGATAATGATGGTGGTGATGTTGATGATGATGAGGATGGTGGGGATTATGATGACGAAGATGTTATAGCTGGGATGGCATTGACGATGATGATGAATCCGCAAGGGAAAACACATTTAATAGATGATCACCATCATCATCATCACCACCATCATCAACATCACCATCATCAACACCACTATCAGGAACATATATTTGACCGGCGGTGTCACCATGCTACCGAATTTTAAAGAGAGACTTCAACTAGAGCTGAATAGGTTGACCCCCGATAACGTTGTTGTGCAGGTTCGTTCGTTCGTTTGTTTGTTCGTTTGTTTGTTCGTTTGTTTGTATGTGTATGCATGTATGTGTGTATGTTTGTATGCGCTCATATGTGTTTGAATATATGTATGTGTGTAGAGGTGTGTACGAGCTTCAACATTGATAATATGTGTGAAGTAGACGTTAATTAACGGTTAAGTGCATGCGTACTTTGTAGGTGCATGCGTCCTGGTTCCGGTATCATAGTTCGTACGTCGGTGCATGCGTACTGGCGAACTTGGAGTCCTTTCAGCGTTCATGTGTCAATAGGGAAGAGTGGATGAGTTTGGGAGATGGGTGTTTGAAGAAGATGAGTGGATACTGATTGGTTGGTTGGATGGTCGGTCGGTCGGTTGGCTGGTTGGTTGGTTGGTCGGTTGGATGGTTAGTTGGTTGGTTGGTTGGTTGATTGGTTGATTGGTTAAATTGATTGGTTGATTGAATTATTGAATGATTGATTAATTTGATTTTTTTAACTTCATTCTTGATTGATTGGTTGGTTGATTTTGTCATGATTATCTGACTTATCTGACTAAGAAAGAGTTCGATTGTTACAACACATCATCAATGATTTGATCGTTCTCTTTCATTGCAAAGCAAACTCATTTTTATATTGTAAATTACGATTTGTAAATTTGCAGGATGAAATTTAGAGTATGTATGTACGTATGTATGTTTGTATGTATGTTTGTTTGTATGTATGTATGTTTGTATGTTTGTTTGTATGTTTGAATGTTTGTATGTATACAATCATTTGCTTAATCACACGTTCAATGCTTACAATGATTTCAATCAACTCAGCTTAAATAAAAGTCTTAATGTTTTATAAATCTTATCAAAACAGCATCATTCTTGTGACTTTGATTTCTTACTATTAACATTATCATTTTTATTATCATTTTTATTATTATTATTATTATTATCATTTTTATTATTATTATTATTATTATTATCATTTTTATTATTATTATGATCATTTTTATTATTATTATTATTATTATTAATCGTAGTCATTATCAACATCATAAGTGCTAGCTTCAAGTTTATTGAATCACATATGATCATATATATTATATACATATATTATATATTATATATATTTATATTATATATATTTATATTATATATATATATCATATATATATATATATATATAATATATATATATATCTAGAGAGAGATGGAGAGATAGAGAGGGAGAGAGAGAGAGAGAGAGAGATAATTTTGTTACATAGTTAGTCAATTTTGTGATGTACATTCAATTTATTGTGTGATTTTTTTTTTCTTGATTGTAACATTCATTCGAACATGAGTTTTTCATTCATTCATTCATTCATTTATTCGTTCGTTCGTTCATTCATTCATTCATCCATTCGTTCATCCATTCATTCATTCATTCGTTCATTTATTCACTCATTTTATCATTAGGTGATATGACGATTGAAGCCATTTTCAACGTCTTTAAGCAATTTATCTTATCCTTTTTCATACATTCATTTGTTGGTTGATGTGATTTTTATACAAAATTGTTATTGTGTATTTTTCAATAAATTGAACCAAAACATGATGTAACTCTTATTATTATTATTATTATTATTATTATTATTAGTAGTAGTAGTAGTAGTAGTAGTGGTGGTGGTGGTAGTAGTAGTAGTGGTAGTAGTAGTAGTTTAAAATATAAGCAAGCCTAGTGTGGTTATACATGCGATTGTTGATTTGCCTAGCTTTATAAATACTTGAAAAAATAATGAAGCAAACTCAATTTAAAGTATTATCACTATAGGTTTGTTATCGTCATCATCATCATAATACCATCATCATCATCATAATAACATCATCATCATAATACCATCATCATCATCATAATAACATCATCATCATAATACCATCATCATAATACCATCATCATAATACCACCATCGTTATTATAATACCACCACCATCATCATCATCACTGCTCGATCATCGTGACGTCATAATAAATATTTGAATTCAAAAGAGTCTCCAGTAATTGGCTCTTGCTAACTTGAACGCCGAATTTCGATTGGTCCAAATAATGCCTTACAATCTGATCATCCATGTTCATTATGATCCTGAAAAATTATTATTATTATTGTTATAATTATTATTTATTTATTTATTATTATTATTATTTTTACAAACCCTTTCTTCGATTTTTTGAGAACTTTTTTGATGCCGTGTGGATCGATTCCAAGCCAGTCTGCCAACTGGAGATGAATTGGAGGAACGGTTAAATGAATGAACGAATTAGTGAATTAATTAATGAATTAAAAAATGAATGAATAAATGGATGAATGAACGAATTAGTGAATTAATTAATGAATTAAAAAATGAATGAATGAATAAAATGAATAAATGAACACCCACGGCTTCGATCAGTTCTTTGATAATCGGACAGTTAAGCTTCAAAATTGTGTACTTGCGATCATCATCATTGTTATTTTTATTATTATTATTGTTGTTGTTATCGTCTTCATCATATTTGAATAATCTTCTCACTCGGAATGAAACTGAAAATAATAATAACAAAACTGTCAATGTTATTATTATTATTATTACAACAACAACAACAACTACTACTACTACTAATAGTAGTATTAGTAGTAGGTAGTAGTAGTAATAGTAGTAGTAGCAGCAGCAGCAGCAGCAATGGTAGTAGTAGTAGTAGTAGTAGCCAGCGTAACAATTAAAATCATATTACACTGATGACGACAATTATTATTCATATTATTCCTATTTGATTATTCTTTGAAAAATCTGGGCTGAATAGTTGCAATAATAAAAGTAGTAGTAGTAGTAGTTGTTGTAATAATAAAAATTATAATAATAATTATAATAATAATAATAATTATAATAATAATAATATTCAGATGAAAACTGAACTAAACTATTGTCGTCGAAGCATAAATAACTATAGTCTGTGTGAGTGTTTGTTTGTGTGTGTCTGTGTGTGTGTTTGTGTGTGTTTGTGTGTGTCTGTGTGTGTGCCTTACGCAGTCTTAAGACCATAAATAACATCAACAAAGGCAACAACAACAATAACACATTCAAATAATAATAATAATTACTATTGAAAGCTCCATCATTGCTTTTGCAATAATCTGAAGGCATTTGGACGTTGTTGTTGTTTTTGTTGTTGTTGTCTTTGAGATCATTATCAGGAGAGCAGATTATTGTTAGATTGTTATTATTATTATTATTGTTGTTATTGTTGTTGTTGTTATGGCCATAGTTGATAATGTTATTATCGTCATGTCTGCTGCTGTTATTGCACTCTGCAGTTGACGATGATGATGGCGGTGATGATGATGATGACGATGATGATGACGATGATGATGGCGGTGATGATGATGATGACGATGATGATGGCGGCGATGATGATGATGACGATGATGATGGCGGCGATGATGATGATGACGATGATGATGGCGGCGATGATGATGATGACGATGATGATGGCGGCGATGATGATGATGATGGCCAGGAGTATGGTGACGGTAATGATGACGGTGTCAAAGCCAGTGTAGATGATGATGATGATGCGTTTGATGGTGAACGCAATGACGATGATGATGACGAAGGTAATGATGATAATGATGGCCTAAAAAGAAATGGCATCGTCTTGACGTCATCTGATTTATAGAAGTTTGTCGGAAGATCTAGAAGAAATAAATGAATGAATGAATGAATGAATGAACGAACGAACGAACGAACAAATGAATGAACAACAGCGTTATTAATACAAATATTAATCATCGTCATCATCACCTGATCCGATTGTGACGTCATCTACTTTATTCATCCTTCTTGATTTTCTCTCTTCATCCCGCATCTTTCTCTCGGCTCCCTTTGAAAACGATTAGATGAATGAACGAACAAATGAACAAATGGATGGACAAACGAATGAATGAACAAATGAACGAACGAATAAACAAATAAACGTATGAATGAATGAACGAAAGAGCGAATAAAATAAAAGAATAAACAATCTCAATTAACCTTATCGCAAAATACTTTAATATTGCAGTATGCTCTGTGAACATGGCTCTCTATACTATAATTATCACTACTACTATCATTATTATTATTATTATTATTATTATTATTATTATTAGTAGTAGTAGTAGTAGTAGTAGTAGTAGTAGTAGTAGTGGTAGTGGCGGTAGTAGCAGTAGCAGCAGTAGTAGTGGTGGTAGCGTCATCAGCTTCGTCGTCATTAATGACGTACGTGTCTGTCTGTATCAGCAGTGGGATCCCCTGCATGGCGTTTGAAATAATCTGACGAGTAATTTACTATTCGAATAATTAAAAATGTAATTATCTCTATAATTAATAATAATAATAACAATAATAATAATAATAGAAATAATAACAAGATGACCTTGACCCCTTTCTGGCTACTGAAGGCTGTGCTTAGGCTGTTGACTGCTAAATTTACCTGGAATGAAAGAGAGAAAAAAAAATCAACGATCACTATCATCACCATCGTCATCATCGTCATCGTCATCATCGTCGTCATCATCATCATAACCTTAACGGGTCCAGCCAGCCAATAAAGGTCAACAGCATTGTAGGCAACATCGCAGATGTCTATCAGACCGAAACTCTGGGAATTCTTGTAGCCTATTTTTAGCACAAAAACAATTATAGCAATGAAGGTACTTATAATTATTCATGATTATGATAATTATAGCCATAATTATATGCATAATTATTTACCTACGTCCAGAACTCTCTGCTTGTAGCTCGCCTGCTTTTTAAACCACAAATTCCATGCCTTCCTTTCGTCATCGTGATTGCATTTGTTCTTGAATGTCAAGGTTACTCTGGTCTTTCGTGAATATTAATGAGGTGGTCATCAATATGTGAATGAGTGAGGTGGCCACGAATATGTTAATGAGGCAGTGTTGTGAATAACAATCAGTTGGTTATGAATAAATACATAAAGAGATCGATTAAGTATCAGAAATGTTGACGGTGAAGGATATAAAACATCAACTACAATCTCTCTCTCTCTCTTTCCCTCTCTCTCTCTCTCTCTCTTTCTCTTTATATCCATCTTTAGTAGCCGTGTGCATATGTGTGTATGTGTGTAAAAAAAGAAAAAAAAGAGAAAGAGAGGAAAAGAAAGAGGGAGAAAAGAGAGAGAGAGAGAGAATATAAAAAGAACTAGTCATTGAAACTATATAAAGGGATAAAAAGAATCAACTTGAATGAGCACACAACTACGGCGAACCACACAACAATAACCACAACAACAACAACAACAACGAACGATGAAATTAGAAATAACAACCACAATAG